ATATATATATATATATATATAATTAAATAAATAGATAGACACATCACAATAAGTGACATCCTATATGGTATTTATAAATTTAAATGTATAGTTATACACATCTAAAAATTAAAAAAGATAGATACAAAAAAAATTTACAACATGGATAATTTTTTAAATAAAATTATGTTGGAAACAAAAACTATATATATTTAGTAACCCACAAATTAATTTAAAAAATAATCCACGTGAAATATTTTTCTTAATTTGTTATTATTTTCCACCAATAAGTCACGTCTCCTAATCACACTTTTATTCTGTTTAGTGACAGACCATTACCTCCTAAAACTCTCAAATACCTGATTAGTATAATCACAAACTCTTTAATTTAATTTAAGTCCTAATCGTACTAATCTTTCATTTAATTCAAGTCCTAATCCTTGCTTATCTTTAATTTAATTAAAGTCCTAATCCTACATAATTTTGAAAGTGAAAATCTTCGGTCTATAAATACCAAACTTCCATTGAGTTTACAATCATCTGCTTCTCTTCTCTGTTTCTGCTTTAACAAATTACGAATCGATTCTCTAGTTGTTCTTGATTGATTAAGAGAGATATGGATGTTGATCTAACCCCAAAGTTGGCTAAGCAAATTTATGGAGGAGATGGTGGTTCTTATCATGCATGGTGCCCTAATGAGCTTCCCATGTTGAAGGAAGGAAATATTGGCGCTGCCAAAATTGCTCTGTCAAAGAATGGATTTGCTTTGCCTCGTTACTCTGATTCTGCTAAGGTCGCTTATGTTCTTCAAGGTAACAATTTGGGGCTTTTTTTTTATGCTGGTAATCGTAACGGTTTTCTTTTTCTGCGGGTTTATTGTGTTTTTTTTTTGTTATTATAGTTAATACTCTATTCGCGACATGGATTTTGTTGTTTTGATTTGTGGGTTCTTCTTCAATTTTTGATCTGTAGACGAAATTTTTATTTGGGGATTCTGTTTATGAATCATTGGGTTTTGCTTTGTTTTGATGGAATTTTAGTTGTTTGAGTTTATGGGTTAGATAAGTCTTGGATTTGATTGCTTTGGGTTCATCTGTGTTACAGTATGGAAATCCTGTTTTTTCCATAAACATTGAAACGGTGTCAATTAGAAGTTTGTTTTCTCTATACTGATCACATTGGGTATTATGTGATCAGGCTGTGGAGTTGCTGGAATTGTTCTTCCTGAGAAAGAAGAGAAGGTGATAGCCATTAAGAAGGGTGATGCTATTGCTCTTCCTTTTGGTGTTGTAACATGGTGGTACAACAAAGACGATACGGAACTTGTGCTTCTCTTCCTTGGTGATACCAAAACTGCACACAAGGCTGGTTCCTTCACTGACATGTACTTGACAGGCTCCAACGGGATTTTCACTGGTTTCTCAACTGAGTTTGTTAGCAGGGCATGGGATGTTGAAGAGAGTGTTGCTAAGACTCTAGTTAGCTCCCAGACTGCTAAGGGGATTGTGAAGCTGGATGCAGGGTTCCAAATGCCTGAGCCTATGCAATCCAACAGGGATGGCATGGTTGTCAACTGTGAGGAAGCCCCATTGGATGTGGATATCAAGGGTGGTGGAAAGGTGGTTGTTTTGAATACCAAGAACTTGCCATTGGTTGGTGAAGTTGGACTTGGTGCTGATCTTGTTAGGTTGGATGGGAGTGCTATGTGCTCTCCCGGTTTTTCATGTGACTCAGCCCTTCAGGTTACTTACATTGTGAGAGGCAGTGGCAGAGTTGAGGTGGTTGGCCCTGATGGTAAGCGTGTTCTGGAAGCACACCTCAAAGCCGGTAATCTGTTCATTGTTCCAAGGTTCTGTGTTGTCTCAAAAATTGGTGATCCTGATGGCATGGATTGGTTCTCCATCATCACTACCCCAAAGTATGTTTGTTTTTGTACATTGTTAAATGATAATTCAGGTTCTAACTTAAAACTAACTATCTTGTTATTTGACAGTCCAATATTCACTCACTTGGCTGGAAAGACTTCAACCTGGAAGGCTCTATCCCCACAAGTGCTGCAGGCTGCTTTTAAGGTCTCACCTGCTGTGGAGAAGCTATTCAGCTCCAAGAGAAGTGCAGAAGAGATTTTCTTCCCGCCACCAAACTGAGTTGCTCTGGGAATTAATTGTGGCTCTCTTAGATTTACTTATCTTTATCTTTACATAATTTAGTTGCTCTTTTCTTTGGTTATAAAATTTGACTTCCCTTCCAACTTTTATATAATTTTGAAGTAGTATCTATTGATCTACTTTATTGTTATGGCATCATAGACTTTTACTTTTAATGCACTTTTTTTTGTGCGAACGTTACAAGAATAACGCTACTTATTAATTTTGTACCATTTGATATTTTTAGAAAATGCTTGAATCAACTGTCAAGGAGTTTGATATCTTATTTTAATATCAAGTAATCACATTTACTAATGTATCTATTATATTACAAACGGGAAATTCCTAAAGTTGAATTGCCATTTTATTCTTATATTAAATAAAAATATTATATTTATATTTGATTTGATTATTTTATTTTTGAAAAATATTGAGCAGTTAACTTTTTTTACTATTAATGAATTGAGAATATTTGAAGAGTTGTGAAAATTAAATAATCTAAATGTTAAAGAAAATGAAGAGACAAATGTTAGTTAATGAGAGTAAATAGGTAGAGATTTAAATTGCATATTAACTAAAATATAGAAGCAGTTACATTTACATTGCTAGAATCTTAAAAGTTGTAAATTTCAATACAATGAAATTCATAATTAATATATTAATACATGTTATTTTAAACGATCAATACATGAAAAGAAGCTGAAGGGACCTAATTAATCATTTAAAGTGAAAGTATTATATAAAGCCAAGAATAATTTTCATTTTCCTCCATTTTTATGGGCTCTAAAGAAGAGTATATCATTTTTCTGAGTAGTTATTTCTCAATCAATGTCAAAGTTAAAGCCATTAAAATACGCTATGAAGGTTGTTGGATTTGTGCAAGAATTTCAGCTATGGATATTGTTGGATTCGTCAAGGAGATTTCTTAGTGAATAATACACTCATGACACTTATTATTTAATTTCCTTGCTAGGGCTTAATATGTGCAACACACGACATTAATTTTACGGTAAAAAATTTCTATATGTTACTGATTTTTACACATATTTCATTAACGTAGCACATACCATTTCACTTATTCATTTAAATATTATATATAGTTTTTTGGATTTTGATTCTTAGAAACAAAAACACCATATAGGATGCTTATCAATTTTAAGAAATGTAATTTGTATTTTCTATTTTATAACAAATAATACAACTTAAAAATATTGCTAATATACAATTTTTACAAAAATATTTTTATTTATATAGCCACACGCGCGTGGCGCCTACCCAAAAACTAGTTTACTATATTTATCATAAACTAATTTATTTTCTTTTGAAATGAATCATAAAATAATTTCCGTATTTATTAGTATCTCGTATGAAACTTGCAAATATGACGTGTCCTGACACTAGGAGGACAAGTTACCAAAATTATTGAAAAAGGAAAACGAGAAGAGGAAAGCGTAAACTCGCCGGCGATTGCCCTGACATCTTCATATTATTATTATTATTATTATTATTATTATTATTATTATATAAATCTCACTCTTCTCTTCCACCTTCCAAGTTCTGATAATACTCGGAGTTGATTTTCCGTCGAACGCAACTTTGAACTCCGACGGACATTCTAGAGTTTCTTAATCCCAGGTTAGCTACACATTTCTCATTTCCGGCTTCTGCACATCTGTTATAAATGAATAAATAAATGTATATCTGCGCGCATGCTAACACTGGTTAGGTCAATTTATTTTTCAATATTGTTTTGATAAATAGAGCTGGTGGCGGCGGAGGCGGAGGTGATTGGATGGGATATGGCGGAGCCACCATTGTTGCCGTTGAAGGAGAACAAGATAGCCAAAGGAACTTTTGCAGTGGTTGGAATCATGTCTACTCTCGTCATTTATGGCATCTTACAGGTCTGCTGTATCATGATCTTCACAGTGTGTGTCTGTTTGATTAATACAAGCGTAATAAGCACATCTACAAGAACTAGTATGCCTTATACATCTTGTTTTGATAGGTGAAGCTAATATAACAGTTGAAGGGTTTAGGCGTAAAGATTTTAGTGATTTTATGATGCCTAAAAGAAAATGAGGAGAAACAAATAGAAGTTTGATATTTATGTATTTCATATTTGAAAAGAAACAAAAAAGGAAAAGTAACTGCCTTTGTGATATGTGTGGAGAAGTGCAGGAGGCTCTAACCGCTTGCCTTGAGTCTCTCAGGCAGTTCACTAATAATATGCACAAATGAGTCAGTAATGACATGTTCTCAACATATCCAATATAATCCCAAAGGTGGGAAGTTAATTACATGTTCTCGCTAACAATTATCTGCTAGGGGAAACTGTCTACACATGTAATAACAATTTTTAGATTTTCCATTAGTTGATTAAGAGCTCAATTTTGGTAAAGTCCAGCTGTAAGCTTGAGGCGTTATCATATGGCTCATGTTTTGTCTTCTCTGTTCAGCATGGTGGGAGTGGGACTGAAGACCTTTTTATATCTCTGCACAATTTGTTGCTTCCTAGTTTCTTGTCATTTCAACACTTCATAGAGTTTTGCTTGTAATTTAACTATAGACTCCAGTACCTAGTAAAAAGTAAACTTCTCTGATGATCACTTTAAGATCTAGTTCCTCGATTGACCCTCCTTCCCAAAGGCTTCTTTCTTAAGTGAAATTTGGTTTAATTTTAAAAGGGAATCCCAGTAGCCAAGCATATATTAATTTTCTGTCCTTTTTTTCAATCTCTTTCTGTAGCTTCATCAGTGAATTGCCTGCTTAACCATCCGCCTATATAGTATATATATATGTTCAGCAGTACTTGACGCTTCTGTCCATTGTGTACTGGTAAAGCAAAACATTTGTGCTTCTATTTACAATTTGATGTATTTTCTATCTTCAACATGGTGGTGGAATTTGTACCTGCAGGAAAAAATCATGAGAGTTCCCTACGGCCTGAACAAAGAATTTTTTTCGTACTCATTGTTTCTTGTCTTTTGCAATCGGATTACCACCTCTGCGGTCTCTGCCGGAGTTTTACTGGTAGTGGAAAGATTTCTGGCTTTGTTCATCTACTTTCTTTTGTGTATTAAGAGCAGAAGGCTTATATAATACTGCAAATATTCTTATGTTTTCTCTAATCTGATTTACTTGTTATTCCTATGAATCTTGTAAGAACAGTTTGCAGTTTGCTCCTTTCATTTTATTCTTTTCAAATTTCAGGCAAGTAAGAAGGCCTTGGACCCAGTAGCTCCACTCTATAAATATGGTGTTGTTTCTGTTTCTAACATCCTTACAACTACTTGTCAGTATGAGGTAAACTAAGAACATTTGGAGAAAGAACTGAAAAATGAGTTAAAATTGTTAGAAGATTTATCAACTTGTCATATAACGAAGCATTGGCTGTGATGACTTCTTTCTTCAGGCTCTCAAGTATGTTAGTTTTCCTGTTCAAACCCTGGCAAAATGTGCCAAGATGATACCTGTAATGGTAAGTTAAGTTGCTGGATAGATTGCTGTAGTTGCTTAGTAACTACTGCATGCAATTCCTCTTGATCTGGACTTCTCTCATATATAAATGAATAAAGCTCTATTGCATGTGTTTGAGTTTTGGTATTGCTATTTTTAGGCTTAGCAAAAGCATTTTGTTTGGAATTATCACATCCATGATATCATATTGGTCTACTTTGAAAATCCTTTTGCGTTTTTAATTCTAGAATTTTACTCATTCTTATGGAAATCCAACTGTCTGGTTAATAGGTATGTTACTGAAGTTTATTGCAACACTAAAACTGTTGGAGTTTGCTAGGTTGTGTGTCATACTAGATATAATAAAGCAAACCAAGAACTCCTTCACCCCTGACACTGGAAAAGTCTGTTTGTATAATTTTCTTTAAGGCGTCTGATAATTAGATGTCATCTTGCTTACAATGTTCTTGTGTAGACAGATCATAATTATTTAACTGTCCTTTCTAGTTGATGTTGTTCTCTTTACCTTTTCTGCTGATGCAGATCTGGGGTGCTATCATTATGCAAAAGAAGTACCAAGGACAGGACTATCTTTTGGCATTCCTAGTAACTCTGGGTTGTTCATTATTTATTCTGTATCAGGTATTACTAATATCTTGTTTTGAATTTCCTGTTGGATATTATACAAATTGCTACTTTCTCAAATTATTTCAAGAATTGTTTTCACTTTTCAGAATATATTGATCATGTCAAACATTCATAAATGATGTTTACATTTTCGTAAATATTTCATAAATGATGTGTTTTTGATGTCACACGATGGTATCATTTTTTAATTACTGAAACTGTCTTCTATTATCTTTGAGTACTGCTGAATGATCTCATGCTTTTCCATGTTCATTCAGTACAAAACACAAAAAACCTTAAAACCAATTTAAGATGATGATGCTGTTGACTGTTGATGTTCAAAGCTCCTCCTGGTGAATCAGCCTGTCATCCACATGAGATCACGTTATGCCTTTAATTTCAAATTCAAGAAATGATTTCTTTTGTTCAACCTCTCAGTTCTGATTATATCTACCTGCTGCTTAGTATTTCATATATCTTTTTCTTTTACATTGTTTGGCGAGGGGGGACAAGTCGGAGAACTCCAGAAAGGATTTCCAGACCCTTAAATGATACTAACTTTACCCTCCAAATTAACCAAAAAAACAAAGAAGATAATTCTTTGCAAATCTTTATAAAAGATCTACTTGCATCCTGAGTTGAGTATGAGAATTTCTACATTTTATGTTGCACTACTTAATTAGTCTCTGAAGCAGTTGGAAACTCCTATTATTGGATTGGATACCTAAGTATCAATAAACTCAAGTTTCAGAGCATAGTTTTTTGCCTAATATTGATAAAATTACCCTGAAGGCCCGACCCCTAAGTTTAAACTTTCCTGAAGCTAAACTTCATGCTCTCACTATTGAAAACTGCACAATGGTGCCCCAGTGCTTTCTTTTTTTGGAGCATAAGGGTCCTCCAAGTTGAATCTCAGAGTCATACTTTTGTGGCTGTCCAGAAGAGACTTCTAGCAAACATGTTGAAGGTTGAGCCCTTGAGTCTTGCATAAGTAACCGAATTCACCACCAAGGAGTCATGACGTCCAAGTATCCTATCAAAACTATTAACTAGCTGTGATATAAGCACTTTGATATTGCAGCACTCCTGCTATTTGGGCAGTCGTTGAGTACAACATCTCTTAAACTATGGTTTCACTAGGTCCTTCTCAAAAAAAAACTATGGTTTCACTAGGTTCTTAGGTGACACAGTTATTTTCTTGTTTGCGTTTTATGTTACTTGCTCATTTTAATAGTGTCAAACAATCAAATTATTGAAGTTTTCATGTGCATGAGCTACTGTTTAATCTAGTCCCAAAAGTTGGTCAATGTGAACTCATATAGAATATAATTTAATTAGAAGGTATAATGGCCTTACTTGGGGTAAGAACTGAAATATCAAATATGATTTGTTTCTTTTTTTTTAATTCTAAAATTAAAATATAAAGTACTTCTTATTTATGACCTCCAACAACACAGAAATATAGCATCCATGTTTAAAGAACACATGCCATGTCCTCACCGTGGAATGGTTGTAGCTCTAGATGATGGTCAGATTTTTAGGTTCACTGAGATATTTAACTAAACTTTCTATTCCCTCCGCCTGTTTTATGTGACACCCTTTCCTTTTTAGTCCGTCCCAAAACGAATTTCACCTTTCACCCTTAATGATGATGTTCAACCACACAAATATCAAAGAATTGTTGTTCCTTAATGCTGAAGAATACAAAGTTTACCAATTCTTGAAAAAAATATTTAAGAATTCTTTTAGACCACAAGTTCCAAAAGTCCTCCTTTTTTTCTTAAACACCGTGTCAAGTCAAATGGTGCCACATAAAATAGGACAGTGGGAGTATTTGTTGTTCTTTGCAAATTGCAAGCAACATCAAAGTTCTGAGGTGTTGTGCTATACCTCCCTATAACTCTACGAGAATGGGTAGTTCTTTGTCTCCATCCTTTAGAATGAATGAAAACTACCACGAGGAACGAGATTGATTTGGAAAAGCTAAAGTGGATGCTGTGGTTTATCTTGTTAATTGTGTCACCTATTTGTTGTATATTATTACCAGCAATTGACAAGTTTTCATAGTTTTTACTGATTCTCCAAAATAAATATGCTTGCTAAAAGATTCATGTTTTTGTATATATTGGGAATATATTGGGAGCGCTAAGAATATCCCAACTAGCAGAGAGGACTGGATTAATTTTGTAGAAAGAAGCTTTAGTTTGCAGAATTCATTAATGATGTGTACTTCCTGTTTAGTGCTAAATCCCATTTTTCCTGTAAAAGTATTACTGATATTTTTTTGTGGATTGGCTGATAGCCATGCTTGTATCTGGCTTGTTAATTTCTGGACTTGCATTAGCTTCTAGGATCACTCCACTTGGTAATGCTTTTGCCTTTCTGTGTTTGGTTTAAGGGTGCAGGTGACATCAGTCCCTTCAATAGAGGAAGGGAAAGCACGGTCTGGGGAGTTTCTCTGATGATAGGCTATCTTGGGTATGAGTCATAACTCACATAATCTTCCAGCACTTTTAAACCTTTAGATATTGGATTAACAAAACGCTAAGTTACGGAACGGGTTTGCTAAATGTCAAGACTTGTTTCCTCAAGAAGATTGTGTGCCCGACCTTGTTGAAAATTGTCTTTCAACTTACCATCTCATAATGTGAATTTGACTGATATTTGTTCATTGAAATTTTACACACTGATCGCTTCTCTTTTACTTGTTCACTGCATCATCTCACTTATTCTGTTGTATCACCAAAAGAATGACTGACTGAATCCTTTTCTAAACCATATTTACTGTCGAAAAGTATTTCTGCTTTGAAATTGTTTTTGGATCATATTTCTTTTACTTATTTCTCATTCTCAAATTTACTTCATGTCTTTCCCCTGTCAATTCTACTTTTCGATGCTGTGGTCCAACCCTCAAAGCCTAATTAATTGGTCAACTGAAGAATTGTGAAAACACCTGAGTGAAATGTAATGGTCAAAATCATAGTTCTCCACCTCCATCCAAGTGCTAATGCAAGGAAGGTTATTTGGTGCTTGTCGGAATGAAATTTTTGATGTTAACATAAACGAAAATATTAGAAATATCCTAGTTTTCACGAGTCACATATATATCAAATACTCAAGGCAAACACATCTACAAATTTTACATCAGAAAGAAAATATACTGTTGGCAATTTTCATATTCTTCAGTTTTGTTCCGTCTTTTCCCTGCCTTTTCTGATGTTTTCCGCAGGATATAGTTTTGCCGTTTAGGTTGTTGAGATAGTTATCTATTGAAGGAGCAACACCATTTATTGTTATTTCCTCCTTGAGAATCGAATGAATGTTTGCACTTCGCTGGTGTCTGCATATTTTTTCTGGTTAGTTACAAGCTTTATCAGTCATCTGATCTCGCAGGTTTGATGGCTTCACGAGTACTTTCCAGGACAAACTTTTTAAAGGCTATGATATGGAAATACACAATCAAATATTCTATACAACGGTCTGTTCATGTCTTCTTAGTTTCATTGGTAAGATCTAATTTTTTGGAATGGGGTAACTAGTCTTTGCAAATATTGAATACAGTACCATTTTAAAAAAGGCCTTTGCAAGTATTGAGTGTGTATTTGGTGGACATTTGAGAAATTCACTTCACATTTCCAGAAGATAGTTTGCTGAACCATTCCGTTGTTTAGAGTGTCTTCTCACTGAGCATGATATATCCAGTTGTCTCAATGTTTTTCATGTGCAACATAGGACGGAAGATTGTGGCTTTTATTTTTAGGTACCTCATTGTTGTTAATGTTTTACCTAAAATCTTTAATGTAATAATGATTTTTGAAGTTTTTCACAGAAAATTTGTCACACACATGCTGATTGGTTGGCTTCCAAGCTTCAGCGATGTTTGGTTTTGAATGAGTTGTGAACTTACAAAAGATTTTGGGTATTGATATCATTGCACTCGATTAATCTTTCTCAAATATTTCACAATATATTTACTATAAAGGATTTATCATACACTTTTGCTTACATTATTGTGGATTATAAACTCTAGCAGAAACATCCACACACAATGCAGGCTACGGGTTGTGTCTAAATTTATGCCTGCTTCCTGCTATTTAGTTATTAATAGTTTTTACCGTAGGTACTACTGGTTATAACTAATGTTATCACGCTTTATATTACTTGTGATGTTTATCTAGGTTTTATCCAATGACTAGATACCAACTGGATTCTGTTCTCTGTTTTCCATGCAGGTCTAATTTTGCAAGGCAGTCTTCTCATGGCAATAGATTTTGTATCCCGCCATCATGATTGTTTCTTTGATATTGCTCTGCTTTCAACTGTAATTTCCCTGTAGAGTTGCTTTGCTTAAACAATTGTCCAAGTATCTGTGTTATCAAACCTTGCTGTTACTGAAAGTTGCATGTCAAGAAACCAATTACTACTTTTTTTTTTTTAACTTTTGAAATGGAGAAATTGGGAGGACGAAACTGATATTGTATTTCGGTTGCAGGTAGCAACTGCAAGTCAATTTTTTATATCTTACACAATCCGCACATTTGGTGCTCTAACATTTGCAACCATAATGACCACAAGACAGGTATTCAGAAATAGTTTGAGAGTTTAAAAAAAAAGAGAATGTCTTGTTCCCTTTAAACTGAAACTGTGGCACCTAATTAAATATGTGTAGTTGGTGAGCATTTTATTGTCATGCTTGTGGTTTGGCCATCCTTTGAGCTGGGAGCAATGCATCGGAGCTGTAAGCATGAAGCTCTCTGTGTTGATTTTACTTAAAAAAGAAAAAAAACAAAGTATTCTAGTTTGATTTTTTTTTCTTCAGGTTATCGTGTTTGGATCCCTTTATGCAAGAAGCTTCTTGAAGACAAAAGAGAAGGCGGTGGCGCCATCATTGGAGATGGCTGAAACTAAAGCCCCAGGTGGTTCATAAATAATAACTTTCAACCTTGAATTGAAAAATCTCTCTCTCTGCTCTGCTCAGATATAGATGTGTAAGTAACTAAACAAGGCGTGCTATTTTTGGATTTCCATACGGAAGGCTACTAGCAAGATTTTGATTAGCCTTCCTCAAATCTTTGCTACTTCCAATAGAAGTTGTATGATGAACAATTAATTTCCATGTTTTTTTTGGCCTACTTCCAAAAGGATGTAATATAACCAATGCAGATTTCAGAACTATACAAGTTGACAAGGTTTGTTCTTACTACTCATTTTGTTGTCCAAGAATTTTTAATTGACAATGTTTGCCCTGGGGAATAAGTTCAATGTTAGACAATTTTTTACCCCTCATATTGTCGGACTTATGCCTGAAGGTACAAATTATTTCTGAGGAATTTTTTTTAAAGAAACCATAAAACACAGGTTATGCCCTATAAAGCAGAGATTTCTACAGATCCATATTATAGTGCACGATAGAAATTATAAGACAACTCCAGGTGTATATAGTACCTTCTATCAGTATTTGAATTTGTCTATCTCGATCTAAAAAACTTTAATTCTTAAAAAAGTAGTAAATATTTATTTATATTATCTTCAACAAGATTCTCCCGATGCATATTATAGGATTAACTAATTTTCCTCGTCTTTACCTTAATACAAGTAATTTAATGATAGTGCTCACCGCATTAAACCTTGTGCCAAATAATTTATTATTTTTAGTAATTAATAACATATCAATAGGTATATAAATTAGAAGTAATTAATAACGTCAGTGGATTTCGTGCCAAAATTATTAACCATAAGTTTTTAATTAGTCTCAAAAGCACAAAATGATTTATTTTTTTACCCGTTAATAATTATGCTAAAAGGTGTAATATATCTTTTGACTTAATTGATCCTACATTAATTTTGTGGAGTCTCTCTATAATTTCCTTCACTTTTTATCTTTTACGGGTGATTCTGATGGACATGTAAAAGTTATTTTAGTTTTTTGTTTTATTCTGTATATCCAAATTTTTTAAAGAAATTTCCTATCATCACTCTTTCACTCATGACACACATGCTATATACCCAAAATTTGACATCCACATTAGACGACTCACTCATTTATGAAAGAATTCTAACATTGCCATTGTGAATCTACTAAATTCCAAAGATAAAACACCTACACATACATGTTGCACACAACATGAAGCAAAAAATCCTTGGACCGACATACAATGCACATAGATGTGAAATGTAAACTCTAGATATTACATCATTGCGCGTATAACTAAGACTTTTTCCAACCTATACAATCAAGGTATATAATAAAACAGTACATTATACTAAAAATGTATAGATATAATGTAAATAAATGTTTATATTATCGATATATATATATATATAAATTAAAATAATTTGTATACACATGACTTTGTACCAAACTCCCATTACCCCATGTGCTCAAGTACCGGACAATGTAGCGAACTCCTTAATCCACCAATTAAGACAGCAACATGCCCTTCAATTATGCAATTAGCCCTTTAATTAGTCTCATTAGTAATATAATTAAGTGAACAGGTAAAGCGGTTAGTCGAACTAGAATCTAGTAAAGTTGTTTATCTTTATTTTGTATTCAATAATAATGAAAACATCCTGATTCTTTCTCAAACTCTACAAACGTAAAGATACTTTATGGATCAAACAATCTTATTTAATAATAGTAAAATGTAATATCAATTTTTTGATTCGTGGTTTTGGTAATTTTATGCATTCCATACCTGATTTTACCCCTAATTAAAAGGATAAGGAATGTTACTAGCACGTCATGCGGCATTTTCTTAAACAAGCAAGTGATTTTATTTAGAAAAATATTTATATTTAGATAATTTTTTCAAAGTTCCTTTAGAATAATTTACTCCGCCCAAAAAGCAAAAAATAAAAACTTAAAGATCAAAAAAATAATTTTATTTGACATGTTTAAATCATAAAATTAAAATATATATATAT